AGAGAAGAGAGAGAGAGGGAGAGGGGAGAGGGAGAGGGAGAGAGAGGAGAGAGGGAGAGGGAGAGGGAGAGGAGGGAGAGAGAGGGAGAGGAGAGAGAGGAGAGAGAGAGAGAGAGAGAGAGAGAGAGAGAGAGAGAGAGAGAGAGAGAGAGAGAGAGAGAGAGAGAGAGAGAGAGAGAGAGAGAGAGAGAGAGAGAGAAACCCACTTCGCATAAACACCATTTCATTTACTAACTGGCTAGACACGAAGTTTAAAAGTCATTCTTTATACTGCAAAAGTGCTGCCTCATACGCATATGCTATAAGCCTTTGAAGCTAGCGATATGAGAGAAAGAGGCCAACAGACGCACGAAATGACGAAAAAAAAAAATGCACCCCCTCAATATATAATATAATAATATATATATATATATATATATATATATATATAATATATATATATATATATATATATATATATAATAATACATAAACAAAAAAATATATAGATGGGGCATATAAAAAAAAAGAAAACCAAACACAAATAAAATCCATGGTCGAAAAGAGAGCAAAGGCAAAACCGAATCATTCAAAAAAGAAGACCGAAAAAAACCGGCCCAGACGAGAAGAGACCGAGAGCCAGCCATGTGACAGCGAGCGCGACAGTGAACTCGTATAGGCCCATTGCTTTCACTTTCCACCCGGCCGGCGCTGTGACGCATCGCTGGGGAGAAAGTGGTTGGCCAAGTGCCCAGCCGCCATGCCCGACCGCCCTCCATGCCCAACCCTCCCTTCAGAATGCCCCGCCAATGCCCCGGGCGCGCCGACCGCGATGCGCCTCTGTTTACCGCGCTTTTTGCTTTTGTGCTTGTATCCCCGCGTGGTGACGGGGATACAAGCACAGTTAATTTTAACATTCATCTTAATGACCACAACGATATGATAACCATTATTAAAATCATAAATATTACCACGATGTTTTATATTACCATTATCATCATTACCATTTTTAATATTACCGCTAATATTTCGACTACTATCATTATCACAGCCACCGCCATTCCTAAAATCGCCATCATCTCACTCCTCCTCCCTTTTATCAATATCACCAATAAAAAGACAAATATATATAAAAATAAAACTTTCTCATCTCTTGAGTTCATTAAAGTTAATCTTTATCCGTTTTTTTACCTTGAATAAAGTCTCACTCGTTAGTACATAAATAAACTATAAAAAATATAATTATGGTAAATAATCTTCACTATACCTATCAATAAATATTCATCCATGTAGGTATGTATGTTTGTCGGTATGTGTGTACGTACATATGTGTGTGCTTGTGCATGTGTATGCTATATATATATAAGTATATATATATATATATATAATATATATATATATATGTATATATATATGTACATATATATATGTATATATATTATATATATATATATATATATATATATATATATATATATATATATATATATTATATATATATATATATATATATATATATGTATATATATATATATATATATATATATATATATGTATATATATATGTATATATATATATATATATTATATATATTATATATATATATATATAATATATATATATATATATATATATATATATATATATATATAATATATATATATATATATATATATATATATGGAAGAAAAACCCACAATGTACAAACTAGATTTATTGATGAAAGTGAGACAACAGTTTCGGAATCGGCCTCGATTCCATCTTCGGTCTGAAGAGGCAAGGGAGACGAAGCGGTATAAGAGGGAAAGGAGGCGAAGCACTCGGAACTACGGGGCAGGAGAGGACAGGAGAACGGAAGCGAAGGGAAGTCAGATCAGGTCGAAGGATCAGGCGGTCTATGTGACGGGTGACCGGCATAAGGGAGGAGACGAAGGATGTGGGAAGCGAGGAGGCTGTCGGCAGGAGAGAAACCGCTGTTCAAGTTGAAATTGGGCAGCAGCTTAATGAGAGAAGATTCCACCAGTCTGCGGCATGGACATCAGCGGAAGGGAAGAGAATGCGGGCAGCTTTCCAGTCCATCTGATGGCCAGTGTCCCACTGATGGCAGAAGAGGGCGTTGTTGGTATGTCCCTGGATACAGCGTACTTATGCTGAGACAAACGCTTAGTAAGACTGCGCCTGTTTCACCAAAATACTGCTTATCACAGGAGGCACACGGAACAGCATAGGTGCCCACCTTCGAGGTAGAGGGAGGGCAGGTGTGAACCAGGTTCCGACGGAGGGTATTCACCTGGCGAAGGGAGAGTCTGCAGTTGAGAGACTGCAGGGGCCGACGGAGGGAGTAGATCTCCTCAGTGTAAGGCAGGCTGAGGACAGGCAGGTGAGGAGACTCATTGGGAGGGGAGTCATGGTAGAAGGTACGTCGCGCCCTGGAAACGCGACGTCAAGGACATGGCGAGGATAGCCCAGTTTGGAGAACGAACGACGCAGGAAGTCGATCTCTCCATCCAGGTACTGGGGGTCACAGATGCGGAGGGCACGGAGAACAGCGAGGC